ATTTGATTCCTTACCATACTATGACGTTTTTATGACCTTTTATGCCTTAATATGCTATGATGCTTTTTTGACATTTTTATGCCATACTATACTATGACGTTTTTTTGACATTTTTATGCCATACTATACAATGATGTTTTGTTCCTTAGCATACTATGACATTTTTATGACCTTTTATGCCTTAATATAATATGATGTTTTTTTGACATTTTATGCCATACTATACTATAACATTTTTTGGCATTTTTATGCCTTACTGTACTACGTTGTTTTATTCCTTAGCATACTATGATGTTTTTATGACCTTTTATTCCATAGTATACTATGACGTTTTTTGACATTTTTATGCCATACTATACATTACGTTTTTTGACATTTTATGCCTTACTGTACTATGTTGTTTTATTGCTTAGCATCCTTTGACGTTTTTATGACTTTTTATGCCTTAATATACTATGATGTTTTTTATCATTTTTTGCCATACTATACTATGACATTTTTTGACATTTTTATTCCATATTATACAATAATGTTTTTTGTCATTTTTATGCCTTCCAATACAATTTCATTTGATTCCTTACCATACTATGACGTTTTTATGACCTTTTATGCCACACTATACTATGACGTTTTTTGGCATTTTATGCCTTACTGTACTATGTTGTTTCATTCCTAACCATACTATGATGTTTTTATGACCTTTTATGCCTTAATATACTATGATGTTTTTTTGACATTTTTTGCCATACTATACTATGACGTTTTTTTGACATTTTCATGCCATACTATACAATGATGTTTTTTGTCATTTTTATGCCTTACTGTACTATGATGTTTTATTCCTTAGCATACTATGATGTTTTTATGACCTTTTATGCCTTAATATACTACTATGTTTTTTTGACATTTTTTGCCATACTATACTATGACGTGTTTTGACATTTTTATGCCATAATATACAATGACGTTTTTTACCATTTTTATGCCTTCCAATACAATTTCATTTGATTCCTTACCATACTATGACGTTTTTATGACCTTTTATGCCTTAATATGCTATGATGTTTTTTTGACATTTTTATGCCATACTATACAATGATTTTTTTTTGTCATTTTTATGCTTTACAATACTATGATGTTTTATTCCTTAGCATACTATGATGTTTTTATGACTTTTTATGCCTTAATATACTATGATGTTTTTTTGACATTTTATGCCATACTATACTATGACATTTTTTGGCATTTTTATGCCTTACTGTACTATGTTGTTTCATTCCTTAGCATACTATGACGTTTTTATGACCTTTTATTCCATACTATACTATGATGTTTTTTGACATTTTTATGCCATACTATACATTACGTTTTTTGACATTTTATGACTTACTGTACTATGTTGTTTCATTGTTTAGCATACTATGACGTTTTTATGACTTTTTATGCCTTAATATACTATGATATTTTTTTGACATTTTTTGCCATACTATACTATGACGTTTTTTGACATTTTTATGCCATACTATACAATGACATTTTTTTGTCATTTTTATGCCTTCCAATACAATTTCATTTGATTCCTTACCATACTATGACGTTTTTATGACCTTTTATGCCTTAATATGCTATGATGTTTTTTTGACATTTTTATGCCATACTATACAATGATTTTTTTTGTCATTTTTATGCTTTACAGTACTATGATGTTTTATTCCTTACCATACTATGACGTTTTTATGACCTTTTATACCTTAATATACTATCATGTTTTTGTGATGTTTTATGCTATACTGTACTATGACGTTGTTTTTGGCATTTCTATGCCTAACTATACTATGCCGTTGTATTGCTTACCATACTATGATGTTTTTATGACATTTTATGCCTTAATATACTATGATGTTTTTTTTACATTTTTTGCCATACTATACAATACTATGTTGATTTATTCCTTACCATACTATTACGTTTTTATGACCGTTTATGCTTTAATATACTATGACATTTTTTAAATATTTTTATGCCATACTATACTATGAGTTTTTTTTACATTTTTTGTCTTACTTACTTGACGTTTGTTGAGGTTTTGAAGCCTTACCATAATATGACTTTCTTTGACCTTTTTATACCTTAATATACTATGACATTTTTATGCCTTACTATACTATGACATTTTTTAACATTTGTATGCATTACTATACTATGATGTGTTTTGACATTACTATACTATGATGTTTTCATGCCTTACTAAAATATGACATTTTTTTGACATTTTTATGCCTTACTATACCATGACATTTTTATGATTTTTTTTTACCTCACTACATTATGACGTTTAAATAACTTTTTATGCCTCACTATACTATGACGTATTCATGACACTTTTGACCTATTATACAATGACGTTTTTATGACTTTTTTTTCCTTACTGCACTTTGACGTTTTTATGACTATTTCTGCCTTACTATACTATGACGTAATTATGCCTCAATATACTATGACGCTTTTCGCCATTTTAATACCTTATTATACTATCATGTTTTATGCCTTATTGTACATTTTTTTATATTTTTATGCCTTATTATACTATGACCTTTTGTGACGTTTTACGTCTTACTATCAAGAAATAATATAACCACATACTTTTCTTTTGATTGTATGATATCTTTTTATGTTTTCATGTTCATAGTACAAACAAACCATGAATATCTGATGTAAACATGAGCAATCATAGCCTCCTCTGGAATTTAAATCTCATTGCATGGTAATAAACACGCAATTTATGTAGTTACTGAAATACCTCTGAATCATACTGAGATTACCCCCTCATACTGTCAGTCACAAGTGAACCTCAAACAAAGACATTTGGCATTACAACGATCTTTGTCCAAGGATGAGGAAAATATAAGTCATAAGTCATACGTGCATCTCTCTCCTTTTCCATCCATCACAGAGGATTCAAAAAGAGCCACACTGGCACAATCACATCCTCCCATCCCATCAACAAATGGAATTATACCTGACAGAAATACATGTTTCCATCCACTCCATCCATCAGTTCAACACACAGAACACTTTGAAAAGGTAATGTCCATGTTTCAATCAAATGACCAGTGACACTTGCATTGTTGCGTGTTCATTTGAGATGATACTGCATACTGGGTGTAATCTGCAATTCTTTATTTTCACGTTTATTAGACTGAGCACAAATTCAGTGCTGCATTTTTCTGTTAGCAGATGCAATGACAGAAATTAAAATTCCTCACTGTCCAATGGGAAAACATGTTGAACAATTAACATTTTTACATAATATCATCCTTAAAACGACAATAACAGGTTGTTTTTTTCAGCCACGTGGGGGGCAGCAGAAGCTTGTGAACACAACAGTGACATATTTTCACTTTTTAACAGTTGGTCATTTACATATCCAGCAGACAATGAGCAACAGTAGCATTCATATGGAGTCATGTTTCTGGGCAATCAGGTGAATTTCCACTCTTTAGCGCACATCTGGCTATTTAGCTACTAAATTATCCACTATATTCACAAGCTAATTGCTAAGTTTTCCTGTCTGCTGTGTAGCTTATGTTGAAAACAGCTGCCTATTGCATCAGCCCAACTTCAATATGATAAGAGGTTGACTCAGCCAGAGTAAATGAAACCCCCTTTGTGGGGGTGTAGGGTCTTACAGCTCATCAGCTATACAAGTCAGTTAACATTAGTGGATGGTACAATACTACAGGGTAATGCCTACAGGTAGTCATTAAACCATTGACAGCCCGCTCTGTTCTCTGTGGCTTCACACTGATCAAAGGAGTGTAAAAGCCATTAAGTCATATCAATGTCGGACAACCACACCATAAAGCAAGATATTTGATGCAGTTACATACAATTCCTTACAGCTATATGTAGTATAGTTAGGGATCATTATGACCCAGGAACAGGCCACAAATCTTTTACTTTCCCAACACATTCTTTACAACAGGGAGAGATTTACTGGAAGAGCGAAGTAACTAATGTTTCATTGCCAGTGCATCCACACTTCACTCTGATCTGATATTGAAGTCTTCCCATAAGAGAGTGGGAGTGGTAGCAGTAGTCTAAGTGGTGGATATCTCAAAATGTGAACAAATCATTGTTCACATTCACCTTTGTAGAAATGTATTTACACAATTAATTTACATAATTCAGTGATTTATTTCTGGCTTTCACTGACACGTCTCTAACATGTTTGATGAATGACCCACATGAGGCTGTCCACTGGAGGATCCTCTCTAACCTCATTTATAAATTTCTCAATAAAGATTCGGCTGAGGCTTTTCCTGTACACTTTATTTTTGCAAAGACACTCAGTAAACCATCATTAAATAAAATGTCTTTAATCTGAGTATCAGTTGAATTAACCAGTTGTCCCTATGGTATTTTCATATGCTGGATGTGTGTTCTTTGTGATAAATTGTGATAAGGTAAATAACTAATCTCCTTCAATTCTATCTCCTGATCACTAATGAAATGTATTTCTTATTAAAACCTGGTAACAATATATGACAGACAACTCCAAGTGTGTCAAGTCTGTTGGAAGCCAAGACACTTCTAACTATTAACCCAGGCCAACAGCTCCCTCTGGCTGCCATGAAACATTGAAGGATTATTCCCCCTGCAATATTCTGTTCTACATCTGATAACCTTTATGTATGCAACACATATAAAAACAAACTTTGGGCTACATAGCTAATTATATCTATTCAGGTAAGCTGTGCTCCCAACTATGCAATGAATGGAGATGCTACATGTAGCATTGTAGCTGCACTTTCAGGGTGGGTATGTTGGGTAAATATGACATAACCCATATACATCATCTCAACTAACAATAACTCAAGACACTGAATAATAACTCGATCTAAAGTCTTTGCTCCTCCCCACTACAAAAGATGTTATTTTGTTCTGTATGATTAATTTAATTACTACAGGCATTAATTCAATGAAGATCAACTGTACAGTTCAGTGGCATAACTCATTTATTATTGAATAAAAATTGGATTGGACATGAACACGTGCAGACTAAAAACCAGTGTAACAAATTGACAACCCTAAAATGTTTTGAAATCAAGTCTGCATCCCCTGCTGTAAAAAAAAAGAAGAAAAGAAAAAACATATGTATATAACCAGTTTGCTTTTCTGAAACTGTACAAAACACAGCTTTAGCAACATACACCGTCCAAAAGAAAAAAGGACAATGGAAACAAAAACTGCTTGCCTGCCAGTCCCTTTATGTGCAAACATATTGATCTTTCCTGAATGATCGTTTTTTATTTTACATTTATTCATTCAATCCTTCCACTGATCAGTTTGCTTTTATAAATCAAAGCGTTCACATTTTGTCAGTGGATATCAACCCATCTTTACACTGTAAATAAGTTTTTTTTTCCCCCAAAGTCCATAACTTTACATGTAAAACCAAAAACATAAGGGTAGGCTAGAGGGCTGGTAGATGTGTGGGAAGGGGGTATATAATGGGAAAATAAAGAAAAACCTATAGATGGAGGAGACGATGACAGGTTCTGGACTGATGTCACTCTGCATTGATGCCTTCCTTCAACCACTGATCACATCCGACCAGATGAGGAAAAAAAAGGCTCAACACTCGTAAACTTACAAACAGTCCACGTCATGCTGGTAGTTACTGCTGCAGCCTGGGTTCCTCAGACGCACACTTTGAATCTACACTAACAAAACATCATACACCTCTGCCAAATATCAGCTACAGGTGTGCTGTGTAGATGAGAGTCAAAGCAATGAATGTTCTATCACCAAGACATTTGAGCATGCAAAAGCTATGTGCAGGATTCAGGCGATTTCAACAGCGTTTCCATAACTGCCTCCAATGTCAGAGCTTTAATAAAAGGTTTTCATTAGGAAAAAAATTCATGTTTCTACAGGTTTCGTCATTTGGCTTACACCAACAAAATTCAAGGTTGAAGAGAATCAACATTCTTGTAAATTATACTAGTCAGTTTCACGATGCATGTGAGGAACCCAGAAAACCAACTGTTGATATTAGGCTGTTAATATACCCAAAGTGAAATCAAATCCAGCATGTTCTCTTTGCATTTGGCTTCGACAGCTGCTGCTTGGTCTCCAAGCCCCAAGACATGTCAGCTATGTCATCCGTCAGGCAGGAGATATTTTGGTTTACTTCCATATTAGTTGTAGCACAGCTATTTACTTAAACTTTTGAAGATTGCAAGATGACTTCATTTAATGGAACTCTATTCAACAGTAATCAGAGAACACGCCAGATTTGACTTGATTTGAGTAAACTGACAAAATTTGAGTGACTATCAGCCCCAGAGCTAGTCTGTTGGGGTGTGTCTCAGCGCCGGTGACGGCTATGTCCTGAGTGCCCACTACTGCTGTGGTGTTTACTCTTGTGGCTACGCTCCCTCTCTCTGTCCCTTTCGTAAGACCGAGACCTCTCCCTCTCCCTCCTGTCTCCTCGATGACCACCTCCTCGCTCGTGTTTGTGTTTCTTTGAAGAGAGGTCAAAGGAGCTGCGGTCTCTGTCTCTCTCCCGTTCCCTCTCTCTGTCCCGGTCCCTGTCTGCTTTGACTGGAGTGCGGGACCTTGAACGAGAACGCGAGCGCTTCCTCTTGTGACCAGATCCTCCACCTCCACTGTTACTATGGCGTCCACTGGGCTTGGAGTCACTACTGCTATGGTGGCTGGTCTTGGACTTGAGGTGGGGGAGGAGGGGTGAGGTCTGATGTCGCCGAGGAGAAGGGCTACGACTGTGAGAGCGAGAACGTGAGCGAGAACTGTAGGTCCCTGAGCGACTGCGCCTGCTGTTGTAACTGTGGAAACATAAGAGAAAAGAGAAGATGAAAATCCAAGACAAATTACCTGTTAACAGATTGCCAATACATTTGAAGCAAAAAGTCAAACTCGCAAACAAGTTTGAACTTTGACCAGTAAACTGTCTTGCAGGTGATCTTACTGTCTGCGAGGGGATCGGGATCTGGACCGTGAACGTGTTCTCGAACGAGATCGACTTCCACTCCTGCTGTTCCTCCCTATCTTCACCTCTTTCCTTAACCTGCCAGGGAAGGATGGAAGAAAGATTGGGTTGATTGAATCAAGCCAATCAAGCAATGCACACATTATTTTGCTAGCCCTTACTATGAAACTAAAAACAATTTTAGGGATTATGTGTTTGTTTCTTACCCATTGTGGGGACTCTTGTTGACCTGAGCCCGGTTGTCTGGCTCCTTCTTAACTGGTTTGAGAGTCTGGGGATTCGGGGACTTCTCTTCGACCTTAACCACATTTGGGGAGCAGGGCTTGGAAGCAGGAGAGAAGCCACCCAGTGTGGACAGAGCAGGGGTACCATCGGGATTAAGGCCTTTGGCCTTCAGTTTAGCCTCAGCCAAGAACACCTTCCTCCGCTCCACCTCCTTCTCCAAGTGATCATAATTAGGCTAGGGGAAAAAATAAAAATAGCAAATCAAATTGTCAATTTACAGAGACAACACTGAGTACTGGGCTCCTGTGAACAGGAAGCGTTATCACACTGTTGCTAAAAGGATTTTTGACTGGCAGTTTCCCTGGTGGCATACATAGCAGGAGTCTATACCACTTTAGTTTATAGCTTAGTGTACCAATGTTCAAAAAAAGTACCTTCTTCCTGGTGTAAAGTTTCAGGGTGGTAATGCAGATGTCTTTGATCTCATCTTCACTGGCACCAAACAGCAGGTACCAATGAGGTCTGGATGGCAGAGGTATCTTGGAAAAAAAGACACACAAAAGGTTATAACATTAGAAGGTGTTTTACTGTAAAGCCGTGGAGTATGTTATCTGGTGGCATTGGGCGTATAAACAATCAGCACTTGTGGCAAGGTAAGCATTTAATCTTACCTGCAGAGCTCGGGCAGCGAGGTATATGCAGGCACAGGCAATAGTCTCAGCTTGGAACCTCACAAATACATTTGTCCTCAGGCTATCATTCATGTAGTTCCTACAAAGGCAAAAAGAACACATAGAAACAAAAACATAGCATCTTTTCTACACAAAACAACCTCTTACCCATACCCACATCTTCAAGTTATTACTGCAGGTCAATAATCCACTTTCAAATTAAGCCTTCTAAATTGTCACTCATAGCTAATTCTTACATCCAAAAAATCTTCACCACCTGAAACTTTGTGGTGTGGGACTTCTGGACACTGACTGGTTACTGATATGCTGGCGAACAAGTTACAAACTGTGGATTTGACCTTAAGAGGCAGTGACAGCATTTGAAGTTAATCTTTAGCCCTGATAGCTATAAAGACAAAAGCTTCACATTTTAAAGTTACACAATGCTGAAGTGAGATATGCATTTTGATCTGTCAAGTTTAACTTTGTCCATTTCTCTCTGGGGCATCCATAGGAGTGCTGTATGTCACAGGTAAAGCATGAAGACACAAATGAGAAATAATCTACTGAAGACCTGCCAAGACCATCTTACCACACACCATGACCTGGGAGTAAGTACATTAGGACTAATGATGATTAAGACAATGACACATGCCTTGTAAGGTGGGGAACATGCAGGCATACAGATGAAAAACATTCATCTGTAATGTGGTTGCCACTTTCAGATTGTTAGATCTGAGGGAATAGGGAGGCACAGCATGTATGGTGGCAAGCATGACGGCTAGTTTTCGGAATCAGTGGAATGTTGATGAACTCAATTGATGCAACACTAGTCTCATATTCTGACAACTTGCATGTTTAGTATGTGAACTATACGGTTTGTGAACTTTATAATGATTGAAAGTTTCAACTGTAAAACCAAAATGACTTCCCACTTAAAATAAATACCATCCAGTCCTGCGTTGAAACTGACCCCATAAGACCACTGATTCTGCAACCCCATTTCAGTATGTGGCATTATAAGACTGAACTAAAAGACATTAGGTGGCAATCTAGACCTCACTACTGAAGTCTCTGTGCTACAAAACAGATTAGGCATCAGTGGGTTGTCTAGGACAATGGATAAATGAGATTAGCCGTTGGGAGAGCATTAGGGAAGACAAAATGGCCAGGATGTGAATCAGGCAATTACAGAGTGGTGTGAGCATCTATGTCCATAAGAAACATAGAAGTCAAAAAGACAAAAACATGTGTGGCAACACAAACATGATGATAAAACCCCCTGATAAACTATCTCAACACTGATTCTACTCAGATTAGCAAGAGGAACTACAACCAGGCAAAAAAAGCAACTAAAACTAATCACAAAGAAGTGCAACTTCCTTTCCACAGCGGTGACACTTCTGCATATGCATACACTGAGTGTGTCGATTTCTACCCAGTCACATTATATGTACTGCACCACTAGAAGTGTGCAAGCAATTGTTAAAAACCTGCCACACAGGGATTACTTCCAGTCTACCCTGCCTTCAAAAAATGACCAGACCTGCACCTTGGCAGGTCAGTCTATGCCAACGCTACTATAGATAACACGTGGCCGTTGGATTCTGACTGCTGCGTGGGCGAGACAGGTCCTTGGAGGCAAAACCTGAGAACTGGATCAGCCTGTAAGACAGACACATGTCTGGACACCACGTCAGTTGGGGACAGGACACAGTATGCTACTGTAAATATAAAAAAAATAGGCAGGTAAGCTGGTCAAAAAGTTATTCTGTTCTGGCTAAGTTTACCTCATTGCTAGATGCAAGTAAACTAGAAAAAAAAGTCAGAACATAAATGTATCTGTAGCTACTTGACAAAAATAGGTATTACAGTTGAAACCGTTGTAGCAAGACCAAAAATACAAATCCTTTTGGACACCCAAGAGAAAACAAGACGATGTTGGCTGTTGGGAAAGGCCCGCCCGCCCCCTTCAGTGAATCTCGGCATTGGGATTGGCTGTCTGGAGAGGGGCAGCCAGCCAATAGGGGGAGCTTCCTGAGGTCATGTGGTTGGAGGAGGCAGAGTTCAGAGGTTCTTTATGTGACTTACCAGCATGGACTACCCTTTAATCAAAGAGTAGAGAGAAAGGACAAAGTTAAACCAAGTTCCCTGGGCACTGAAAATCAAACAGACTTTATAGCAAAGCCATGTAAGGGCAGACAAGAGAGTGAGACACATGAAAGGTTTGCAATAAAATAAATTGCTCCATCAGAAAAAAAGAGGGCGAAGGGTTAAAATGGAGTGAGGGAATGTCGCAGTCAGACCTGGGCAAAATGGATGTTGAATGGTTTTCAAGTTTGTGCTTAAAAACATGTGGGGCACTTGAATATCACTTATCTGACAGGTGATGTTTCCACATATGGGTCTGTCCCAAGTTCCTAGCAGATAAATCAAGTGCTCTTCAAGTTATTCAACCTTTTGAAACTCCTTCAACTTCATCTTTTAGCCCAGGTCTGGTGGCACTTCTTGAAGACATGACACAGGTTGCTGCTGTGGGGGATGGTCAGGGGAGAATTAGTAAGGAACTTACCAGGCCGTCTGGACCAGTGTCTGGTTCTTTTCACATTCCAGGACTTGCAGGTACATGACGATAATCTGGAATGGTAAAATGATTGCATATTAAAAAATACAGAAACAGTCCCAGGTGTGGCATTGTTCAGAGAAGTCAGAAGCTGCTTCCTGTGTGGTTACATCTGCATGACAGAACAAACTTAAAGCTGCAGTAACTAAACTATGCTGCGCTTCACAATTGAAATGCTTTTAAGTGTGGTGTAAACTCACCTTGTGTGGATGCTTGACATGCACACAGAAGCCCAGCTCCTTCAGGACCCGACGTTCCGCTTTGATGACTTGGTTTTTGGTATTTATGTAGTTCTGATCAAGTATCAATGAACTTGGAGTCCTAGTTAATAAAGGAATCAAAATAAAATAATGTTTCCCCCCTTTCGAAATAAAAGTGGTCAAGAAAGTGCCCTTCTGATTTCTTGCTCTCTTTGCTTTTTTCCCGTTTCAACCAACTCAAAGCAACAGGTTTAACTGTTTGCATGCCTGACAGTTTGCTGGGGTTTGTGGACTCCTGTGGTTCCAGTGAAAGCTTATGGGATCTTTAGATAGCCCTCAACCTCAACCACCCCGTGTCACAGCTTTAACAGAAATATCAACTCATCACTGCCTACAACTCGACCTCGATGTGGAGAAACATTTTACAGTCTTCAAACTTGAACCTCAAACAAAATTCAACACTTCTATGAACTGTCACATATCACTCTCACCTCTGGTAATATACTGTATTCTTCTATAATATTCTAATAAGTGACCAACACCGCTGACTACAACGTCTATTAACAGTGCACCAGTACACCCAGACTCAGAAACCAGGGTTTCAGGGTATAGTTTTCTTTGTCCAATGACTACATTTCACCTTCAAAGCAAACAAAATACTGTACTAGCCTACACAACATGTGCTGGTTAAAGACAGCATATTACTTCACAACTTCAAATGCTACAGATGCTGACAAAAAGATTGATAAATGGTATTTTTATACTATAAAACAAACAAAAAAAAGGCAGATACATCGGTCTGTACACAGGTGTGTGTCAAACTCCTTATGAACTAACAGTCTACAATCTTATGTACCCTTTAAGGTATTCAACAAAAACAAAATAGAGCTTGTAAAAAACCTGACTGAGTAGTAATTCAGCATTTAACCTTTTCAGAACCAACAACAATCAAATGTAGGATCCATGTCTAATATTTTGATGTTCCAAATAACACAAAAATTTAAATGTGAATGCTGTCATGCTCCAAACCACATGCACTGAAAAAAATTCCCAGGACAAAAACAATGTCCTTGATAAACATAATAATTTACAGTCCAAATTCACATCTAAAAAGACATTCTTCCTACAGGTGCATCACAAACTCTGGTACACTTAAATTCTGATTCAAATTAACTACACATGTTGCCAAACTACTAAAGCTACAATGCATGCGCTGACCCCGCATGGACTACAAGTATCCAATAAATTATTCTAACTTCAATGAACAAGGTGATATTTCTATAAAAGCCATGGGTAACAGTTGGTGAATGGGGTGTTGCTCTTTAAGCACAAACAAAATGCATGGTGAGGAGCAGCCAGAGAAGAAAACTACATTACCCAATGGTCCGCAGATTGACGGACAGATACCCAAAGCTTAAGATTGAACCACAGGAGTCCTCAATGCACCCCGGGGGCCAAGGACCTTCGGCCAACCTGTCATCCCCGATCCCAGTGCCCCGCGGTGGCTCAGACCACAGGCGTCTCCCACAGGAGGGGGTGGGGTGGGCCTGGGGGAGGAGAGAGACCCCCTCGCATCATGGTTGTCATGCCGACTGCTTCATCTTTACGTACCATTCCACATCACCCAGGCTTTGGTAAATGTAGCTGGTCGCTGTTAGTTGGTTGCAAGGGAAAAAAGAAGCCAAGTTAATGCCAAGGTCTATAGCACTGACATGAACAGATTTCTATGAAGACAAAGGCACGCAAAAATAAAGCAGTTGTGCCTTGTCTTACAATGCACTCCAATTTTCAAAGTGAGTTTGTTGAGAAATCATTTTCAGTGTAATGTCAAACTCAGATGTCATATGTAGACAATTACACTTTTGAAACTACCAGTGAAGCGGAAACTGAAAAGTTTTAAGATGGTTTAGAGTACATGGGTAAACAGAAGAGCACTTTCACAGCAAAAACAGATCAACATCATACAACATTGGATAAAAACAAAAAACAAATGCAATGCAACATGTTCCATGTAACAAAAATCATAATTTATTATTTCCAAAATGAGGACTGGTTTCAATATCAGTGCTTACTTTTTGCCTCTGATCTGCCTCAGATGGTGGAAAACATTGATGACATCTCGTATTCGTCGTGGTGCTTCTTCAATCTTGGAGGCCAAGTTGATGCAAGCCATAGCAACAATCTGTTAAGATAATCAAGGCAAGAAGTTGGAAGGAAGAGTTCAACAACTTAAGACATGCAATCAGAGATGGACTGCCCACGTGTGAACAGTAAATTTGGGAAATGTGACAAAATATACAAGATGACAAATTTGTCACTGGTCAAGAATTTTTACAATACTTGTACTAGTTTGTACCATAGTGTTTTGATGCTGTGGACAAAGCTGAAAGTCTGGGACTAGTGAGTTGTAACAATACTGAATTTATTCATGATTTTTTAAATTGATAACTTATTACACATTTATGTTTGTCGAGATAGAGGATTTTCTTCATGTTGACCAGCACTTGGCATTTACTTTTCTCAGACCAATACCAAAATGTAGTTAATTGTAGATACTTACAACTTAACGTTACTGTTACTTTGTCAGATTTATAAAGTTATACTGATCAGTCAACCAACCACCACTTGCACTTGGGAAATGCTTTAACGCCTATTTTCAGGTATGTGGATCTTTCACTGTTGAAAAGTAACTGACTCAGAGTCGTCTCTGTACATTCGGTTTAGTTTTTGTTTCGTATTGAGCTTCAGTGTCTCTTCTTTGTCTTCAAGAAGCTCAAGAATTCTGGTACGACGTAGCGACAATATGGCTGCCACAAACGCAACCATAACGTTATGCTATGCTAACACTACCGAGCAACCAGTGGCCTGACAATGATCTATAAACTTGAACGGACTCACCTCAAAACTGTGCTTGACGAAGGACTTGGAGTAGAAAAAACGATGAAAGAGCACCTGCCCCGTTGCCATTGCCACCTGCAGAGAGAGACAGAGCAAGACGTTTATCACTTGTGTTGTATAAGCTAGCCTAACCTTGCACAATGGATCGCCGCCATTTTACTTCCACCACGCCAACGTCAAAGAGCTAACATTAGCATCCGCTAAAAAAACAGGCCATGGCATGTTGAAGACTAGAAAAACCTATCAACCCAAGCGCGTTGAGAATAAAACGCACACCGACATGTAGAATATCACATATTCCAACAATTCAAGGGAGTTTACCTGGGGTAACCGGAGAAGAATGCCCGCCGACTGGATCAGTTCACATCCAAGAATGCGAAGGTCGGTCTCCGTGTTCAGGTCGAGGCCGTCGAGCATCGACGGCGTAGGAGAGAGCCTTTCCTCTGGTATGAGCGAATTGTCGATCGTAAGGTACACTTCCGAGTAAACTTTGTCACCAATAAGAATGCCATCGTTGTTTGTTGATGCGTTGGAAGATACAGAGAGAGGACCTGCGGCCATCTTCACCCAATAAAACAGCAGTTACCAGCAATGGCTCAGCCAGCCTTGACAGAACGACGGCGGGGCAGGGTGACTAACAAAGCACGTGACGTCACTAACATGCCGAGGCTCAAAGGGTTGTGCACATCCGCGGAGGTAAAATAGTATCGCAGTATTGTAACACTGAACTTGAATTGAACGCTTAATTTCTTTAGACTTGTCATAAACTGTACTGGAATATAACGCCTAAAGAGAATTTCACTCTCACGGTTTATTAATGATAACTGATTTAGCACTTCTTATGTTATGTTCCTGTGTGTACAGATAGCAAGAGTACACCCGGACAGTCTAAACAAAGTTAAATACGTAGTATACAATAAAGAGTTAATAAATAAAAAAAAGTGTTCCTAATTTAGAATGATATTTCCAGTTTTCCATTTTACAAGTGGTAAATTAGCTCATGCTTCCTTCACATAAGATCAGTTTCAAAACCATATATTTGAAATGACCAATAATGACAAATGAACCCTAAAACAAAAACAGTTGTTGGTTAAAACAGTGTCATTATCATAAAAGAAAACATTATAGACCCATTTGATCCCGCAGCCATAGAGAAAACACGAGTAAATGTGTAGTAGACATGTATGACCAACACGCTTCAATCAGTTTATTCAACAAATAGTAGCTGTTAGTATACACAGGCTAATTTCTGCAATTAATTAAACCACTACTTCCATGTATTTTGTTCCTTAAACATCACATCACATGCTGGCAATACACGTGTCTCATTATCTATTCTCATTATCGTTCTCAGTGTTGTTTCCCCGACATCACTTGAAGGAGGAGAAGGAAACGACTGACTCACCACCAACGGTTCCTGTGACGTATTTACGGGAAAGTCCGGACTTCTCACCACTACCACTGGAACATATCCATGCGCCAATTTAAAAAAAACAAAAAAACATAATAATAATAATAATAATAATAATAATACAATAATAATAATAATAATAATAATAATAATAATTATTATTATTATTATTATTATTATTATTATTATTATTATTATTATTATTATTATTATTATTATTATATTAATAATGATAATGATAATGAAGTTGAAGGTTGAAGGTTCAAATCCGCAACTCAATGGAGTTTTACTAAAAAATATGTATTTGTATGCCTAATTTAGCACAGTGTACTGAAAGTCAGTAATATCTTCTTGGTTATTTTATATGTAATCATTTAAATATACAATAAACCAGGAAGGGTGAGAAAGTCAAAATAATTTAAGACAAATTATGAACTTAATTTTAAGATTGTGGCAAAGAAGGTGCGGCTCCATGTGAACAGTTAGTACAGGGAACATTGTGTTCAGCCCCTAAGATGTTATACAGCCTGAAGCCTTGCAGTAACTAAAAACAGACAGCAGAGAGAACCAGAGACCTACCATTTCTGGTTTCTGAAAATTTGGCACCCCAAGTAAAGCTGTGTGTTTCCTGGGCTCATAGATAGGTAGCTCTGTGAGGACTCACTGCCCTTGTACCAAATATCCCCCAACAACCTGATGCTGCAATGCAGTTAACTGCAATGTCTGACTACAGCTTTACTGCCAACAAGTGATTCATGTGCTTACACTGCTGTAGTGTGTATGTGTGTTTGTGTATTTTTTTGTTGGTTTACTGCCTCTGTTGGTTTGTTGTCAAAGAGAGCAACTGTCCTGCATAATGCATGTTTCACTGCAAGTCATTTGGAACTTGGTGATGAATTAATTGTGAATCTGTTAGAGAATGTGCACTACGGTAAATATCAACTGTGGCTCTACCTAATCTCAAGCTTCTGTCTTGAGGTCCTGGTTAAAATCCTGTTTTAAGATCTTAATTAATTTAGTTTATATCAGTGGTTTCCAACCTTTTGGCTCAAGACCCCTTAAAATGAAGCACTGTCTACTTTCAACCTCTAAGATTATTTAATTTGAATATTAGAGGTACAATTATCTAATACTAATAATTTACAAAAAAGATAAGATTAAAGTTAAAAAATATATTTGTCTTTCTATTAATCATGTTGTTAACCCTCATATTTATTTTGTGATCTATCGGACTGGTTTACAGGAAACCTGGGGCCAGGTAGTTTTCCAGTAACAAGAGCTCTGGTTCTGTCTGGTTCTGCAGGAAAATATAGTGAAGTTGTCACGTTTAGTCCGCGGTGTGCACTGTACATGTGGGCAGCAGGGTATACAAAACTCACAGAGAGAGGAAATGGGGGCGTCAGTAGGAGCCCAAGGGCAAATTATTGCTCTGCGACCCACTACCAATTTAATCCCGCCATGCTTAGTTGTTTCCCGAGGTTATATATATATTTGCATGTGTGTGTGTCTGAACCTTTCATAAGCACCGACTGTAATCATGCAAACATAGCATGGAGGTCTACTTTCACTACTGTTTGAGGCTCTATGTGGCATGTAAGGGACACACACACAGATTTCAGTTTTACTAATACGCCACATAAGGTGGCAGACTGAGGTCTCATTGTCCCTGTCATAAACCAACACCTACTACCAGCACCTCTGGCCCCTGCACTTACGCAGTTACCACAACGACAAGAATGCTGAGCATTCTTTCTCCGGTTGTCCGGGTGACACAAGTTATAGGGTGTGGGAGGGCTCACGGGACGGCAGAATTCCGGAACGACCATAACCACGCAGGAGAGAGGCGTTCAGGGACGCCCAGTGACGAACAAGGGCTTAGTTATACACACACGCCACTCCCTGTAGTGTGTGTGTGTTTACGAGCAACTTGCACAGATTCCCCAAGGACACGTGTGCATGCCTGCCCTGCTATGATAATTACTGCTAGGAGATCACACTCCAAATGTGCGTGCATGGCATGCGCGCGTGTACGTATGAATGTTTGTGTGTGGGGGCATTTTTTAAGGGGGAGTAAATCTGAATGTTTAAGAGCGATCAAACGTCATCCATGCCAACGTAATGGGGCTTTGTTATCGCACATATCAAGATGTAGAAAGTGTTTCAAGGAGTTGGATCTATTCATGCCAGATCTCCCTCACACAGATGCCTCAAGGCTCTATCTCAAACACACACACACAAACACACACACACACACACACACACACACACACACACACACACACACACACACACACACACACACACACACACACACACACACACACACAGACAAACCAGGAAGGACAGCAGGTCAAGGGCTACAAAGCAAGGCCATGAGCAAAGGAAAAAGCCACAGTAAAAGAGCAGAGGGGAGTATAAAAGAGAGAGCCGACTGGATCAAAAAAAGCAAAGGCACAGATAGCTGAGGAGGGGGGGCGGAATTGCTTTTTAGCAACAGGGTCAGAGGGGTTGAATACCAAAAGAAGGCCAAAGAGATTAAAAGAATATTGACACAAAGACAGATTTATGTGCATGTGTGTGCCAGAGATACAGCAAGAGAGAGAGAGTGGGGTGTTTGTGTTTTGAGGGAGACAGACAGTGTGTGTGGTCAGAGCAGAGAGTGAGTGTGTCAAAGACAGGGAGTGTGTGTGTTGTCGGATAGAATAGAATCGGGGATAGTGTGTTAACACCTCTGACTGGCATAGAAAGAAGTTATCTCTTCAAACACACAGCAGACATGCAAGTCACGATGGGAAGGAAGTATAATGGGGATAAAAGGAAAGGTCAAAGGTCAGTCAAGCAAATCTGCAGGGAGAATGTGAGCAGTTGTTAAAAGGCTTTGAATAGACCCTTTTCACAACAGACATTTTGATTTGTCAAAGCAGGAAAAGAACAGATTTAAATAATAACATTAAAGCTGGAGTAGGCAGAAATCTTCGTCAACATTTAACATACCTTCACAACCAACCACTACAAAAGATCTCTAAAATGCTTCACCTATATTGACACATATCCATCTAATGGGAAGTTCACACACATATGCATTTGTAGAGCAGCCAATAGGATTGCTCTCCCTCTCTGAAAAGACCTGTGATTGGCCAAAGTCTACCATCACTGGCTAGATTTTCTAAAAACCCAAAAACAGAGTCAAGAGGAGGTGAAGATGTCTAGTTTGCTCTCACGCAATCTTGAATTATGATATGCTAAAAGGTGATTATGGAATTTTTGCCCACTGATGCCAAGAAATTATTGCCCACACCAGCTTTAATAATGGCTTTATTCCAGTCAGTGTCCCAGTAAAGCCATGTCAGTGAGCCAACACAATACCAGAGCTCTGGAACTGACTCCCCTAAATGAAATGCAGACATCCTTAATGTTATTAATTCCACCTGTGCCTTTCCTGCTTTGACAAGTCAAAATGACCATAAGGTTTCTGCTGCACTGAATACCTCAAACTGTCTGAAAGTTGGCATCGAAAGTCCCAGTTGAAAAATTAATCTTCACTCAAGGTCCACTTGCTCTTTTTTTTTCTCGTTGTTTTGTAAGTCAAGAACTGAACTGTCAAGCTCAACTTTTACGCCAACACAGACGAGAAGCGCTCAGAATAATAGAAAGTTTAAACATCTACAGTCCCGCAAAAACTGAGCAAACTCTATTTGTTGCTGACCCGGTCAAAATATTGTTTTGTCAGCTGCTTTTCCAAGTTGGAGAATGAACTGTCAAGGTTACAGTTACAACTTATTTTTGTTAAACAATTAACTCACTTGCACTAGCACGGACATTTTTGAAACAATAACCACCCCTAGACTGGGACTAACAATCACATACCGTGCGCTTTCTTATAAGTAATGTCTTCCTCTTTCACACATATGGTCACACGCACGCTACATTGTGATCACCATACAATTGATGTCCTTCACTGACATTACGTGATTACAAAAAAGTGAGTGATGGTGGTGTTAGGACAGAAACAATCATTCACCGGAGACACACGCACATACACATGGCAAAGTGTCATGCAATGAGTAAACACACACAAGGCCACACACCAGCACACACTCAAACACAGGAAAGCAACAAGAAGTCAGCTGCAAAGCACAAAATAAATGCAACCCGTGCCACATAAATCACTTCAAGGGGATATCTATTGTTTTTTTTGTAAAGGAGCAATTAGGGATTGTCTCTTAAGTGT